GTCTCCGTTCCCATATCTAATAATGCTCCTGAGTAACTTTTTGAAAACATATATAACAAAATAATGAAACAACACTTCTGTTAGTTTTGGTTTCACCCCTTCCAGTCCCCAGATCTTTCTCAAATAATGGCACCGCTGTATATGGCAATATGGCAAATTTTGTTAACAAAATATGGCTGATGTAAGGCTATCACATAATTGGAACAGATATTTCCCACTTAGATTTTTTTAATAAGTAAATCATATTTAGCTATTTACTTTACAAGATACACAATTTGAATAGCCTAGAACACGTTAATAATATGTTACTATACTTTATACTTCCTAGTTTTTATGTTTTGTAGTTGTATATCTATAGTTAATGCCAGAAGGGTGATCTACTTCCCAATACCTTTGATGAGGGGTAAAACTCTAACAGGACAAACCCACACCTGTCACGCTCATTTTTATCCCTGTCCTGATCCCCTGAACTCCCTTCCTCCCCTTCCTCCTGAATCCCCACCAACCCCACTCCCGGTATGAAATGTAGCTGCTCAATGGTGTTCTGCCTTTTCGCTGGCAAAATGCCATCCTAAACTGGCGCTGTGGCCCCCCTGTGTTCCCGTTCCCCATGACTACCCCAGCCCCAGGCATCTCCCCCGCCCAGCCATGCCACTCATGTGCCCCCGTCATGCCCGTGCTCCTTCCTTGCTCTCGTCCGGATGTGGGGTGAGAAGTTCATCTTGATCATGTGGGTGACCGGTCGAGGGACGGCGTGGGCGCAGACGTTCTGTGGGACTGGCCTTCTGCCCTTGCGAGGCAGCGTGGGGACCAATCCCTTCCTGTGTGGGTACGGATCTACAAACCCGTCTCCAACCGACCCCCATGTCTCGTCCTCCAAATGGTCTGGGGACATGAGGCCACGTTCTTGTTGTCTCTCCTCTCCCTCCTGTCCTGCGGCTATCCTGGTGAAGGGTCTGCGTGTTGGAGTTCTTATTGGAGGCAAGCCCATGGTTTGTAGTACTGGTGTTGCTGGTTCTTGACAGCTGGAACAGAGTCCCCGTGTTTGCCAGGGACAATCACACCCCCATGTTGGCAGCTGGTCAGGATGGACTTAACTTTCCTCCGGAGGGCCTTGGAAGAGAGTGTCGTAATTTGGGTTGTACTGTGGCTCAAGGGGGATCCAAGACGGTAAGGATTGGGGGTGGGTGAGCCAGGCATGCCAGAAGGCGGGCCGGCCGGATCCAGGGACGGACTGCGTGCCTGGGGAGGGTTCCCTCTCCCACCCCCTGAGGGTGTAGTCTCCCACCCCAGTGTAGGTGGTGCTGAAGAGGGACTGGAGGGCCGGCTGGCGGTGTGAAGGCCGGCGCTTGGTGGTGCAGTAAGCCAGAGAGTAGCTCATCGAGACCTTTCTCTGGAAAGCCAAAACCAAAATTTCGTCTGAATTGTTTATCAACCACAGTAAATACACTCAAAAGCACATAATGACCGCATCCTGCCTCCTTTATGCCATAGTGTCAAAGAGTGTCACCCGTGCTTCAAAGTACTGATAAATGAAATAAAAACAGCTGGCAGAAACGCTTGTAAGGGAGTGAGGGGGCCCAGAACAGACTGAAACCATTTGTCCTATTTTCAACCGAAATGAAGGTATTCACCGAGGCGTTTGAGTGAGGAGTAGTCTGTTACGCTCCAGGACTTTGGTGGCAACTCTCCATAGGAGGGGCGGCCAGCTGAGCAAAGGTTGTGGCAGGGAGTGTGGAAGGCAGGCTGGGATTTGGTGTTGTTGTGTTTACTGGAGAGCAGGGGGTTTGGGGCCCTCCAGCCTGCCAGCTGAAGCATTGTTCATTCCGAGGTTGCGTTCTGCCAGAGACGCAACAGGGAGAAAACCAACTGCGTGTTAAAATGAAGATTTGCTCCCCTCTGGATATAGCGCACCTGCAGCCGGCAGAAGGGTGTGAATTGCTAAACCATTCCACTGGACCCACAGAGCAGATTTAACCCCGTGCTTTCAACCCAAACCCCAAAACCAAGCAACCGAGCAATGATGAATTAGTCTCACGACGATATATATATATAAATATATAAATATATATATATATATATATATATATATATATATATATATATAAAAGAGGTCGATGAAGAGGAGGACCATGTGGAATATTGTATCACAGAATTTAATAGAGAATTGAGCCAACTACCTGCTGGACTGTCAACCTGCTCAGCCCTCAGCAACAATGATTTATTAAACTGAATCTCAAGGGTGAAAGGACCAGATGAGTCTGAATGAACCGTGTGCCTGGTGAGGGTTTTTTGAGATCGGACACTCTGCTGAACCAACCTCATCCTGACACAGGGAGACAGAACTGAATTTTGTTGCTTCCTAGGTAAACGAGCAGACAGGGGTGGGGGCTGTTTCTGACTGGAACTCAGCAGCCTGACACTATTGGCAGGACTCCGCGCCCGATTTAAATTGCCGACGTACCCACATTACCAATCTGATGCCTAGGTTGCCTAGTTTTCCATGTGACCTTAGATCAAATCCCAAGAGGAACTCACACTCTGATCACTGTTACACTACAGGAGTGGTTAGAGTGCGTTATGGGGAAGTTTTCCCCTAAAGTTCCCATCTATAAATCAGGACCTACATGTAAAAAACAATGGGCTACCAAATAATTTAGAGCCATCTGTCACGTTATTACAAAACAAACATCTTGACATAAACGTAGACGAGTCAAGAGATAACAGACATATGTGTTCAGTTTACCAATAAAAAAGGCAACCTGGTTTAAAGTAGGTTGTGCACGAAGAGCAAAGGTTTTTCTACAGAGCACAAGTGAATAGACCATGACGCAGAGGTTGCACTTACACAACTGTCCTTCAAAGCCATTTATGGAGATACAAAGAAAATACCACAGAGGAAGCTGGTCTGACAATCACCGTTTTATTATTCTCACCAGGTGACAAATTATTCAAGTCAGTGATATTTTGTACAGTCAAAGGATTGGCTTCAGAGCAAGTCAAAAACCTCTGAGTCAGGAGAGAAGGCGACCTGAGGCCTTCTCCTGGCATGGCTCCATATGCCATAAGAGACTCGGATTGGTAAGGAAGCCCTGCCCATCCTCAAGACGAAGACCTTGCTGTATCATAACGCACTTCAGCCAGTATGAGTAAAAAAACCCCACAAAAAAAACAGAAAACTGAAAAAAAATCTTCATCAATAACAACGCTTATCAATACTAAGGGCTATCCTATCCTATATACTGTAGTATGTGATATCTGTGGTCCATATAAAATGCTATCTCTTTCTCTTGATTTTGTGTTGATATTGTCATGATGTATTAAGTATTAATGTGTACAAAAAACAAGAGCAATTTAAGCACAGTTCAAAGAGAAACACAGAGACAAAACTTTGCACAAATCTATCCCCTGATATTTGCACCAGATACAAACTTACTTTGTATCGTGTCCTCAAGGTTTACATTCTGTACAAGCACGGCTGAAAGTGTGACTGATCAATTGAAGGTATTGTACTGAGCGAGGATTTTCTTCTTTTCTTTTTTTTCAATCAACAGAAATCAGAGATAATTACGCCGATCAAAGAAAGAACTTGTTACTGCTTGGTTGTTTGTTCAGTCATGTGAAAGGATACAGAGATGAAATACTGATAAACAGAAACACAGATTTCATTTGGACAATCTTCCTATACACAGTGCTAAATGTAGTTGTTATGAATATGATGGAGTGTTATTATTAATAATTATTATAACTGTTATGGTTATTATTAACAATTATCTTATGATGTGATGTTCTTTTACTTGGTGGGATTTAAGTGTTTATTGTTTTTAGATAACTAGCATTCTCATGACTAGTTGGTTTTTCATACATCTGGTCATAAATTCAAGTTTTTAAAAACATTCTGAATCTTGATGCATGCCAGCTCCATTTCATTGAGAGGCATTTACAGTAGGCCTGGATTTTAAGGTCATCAATATGGCCAATTTCCCAGCTGTATGTACTGTGCCTAGACATCGGCCTTATGACTTCCTGATCTCAAGTGATTACTTAGGTTTCCACTCGGGTACAAAACGACTATTGAAAAAATCTGCAGCCTTCTAAACGTATGTGTAGACAACGGTGTTTTAACAGCCGGTAAATGGATAGATGTGTTTGGGCTGGGCCAGAAGTTATTCACGCCACCAGACTGGACACAGTCTCCACTGCAGCAGCCTGACCCAATAACTTATTATGGGTTGTACACACTCAACCCATGATGCCATAATGTATGTGTGTTCGGGTGAATGTTTATTACACAGGTTTGGAGAGAAATGGAGGCGTAAGGGAACCTGAATGCTTTGAGTGCAGTGTCTTTTTCAGGGAAATAGGACAGATGACATACAGTAGTATTAGATTTTTTTAATAGAGCCACAAAAGGTCTGTAGCAAAGTCTGTAATATCTCACAAGCCATATCCATCGAAACTCATTATCACAATTTTATAAATGGTTAATCTAATTTGTGCAAGTATTGTATTTTGTATAGCTAGTACAATCAGAATATTTTGAGTGATCTCTTCGACATTAATTTGAGGATTCAACAAATTATGTGTTAGTATTTAATGAATTGTACAGTGCCAAACTCATAACATTTTGTTGTCTTTCTATTGTCATAGCCTCCTACAAAACTATAGGGGTTATTTCTTTTTCACAACTGAGAACTAATACACAGGCAAGTCAGCTATATAAAAAAGGCTAGTTATCAGAAAGAAATGAATGAATATGGTGTGTGTTTTTGCCATTATGAATTCATTTGGAGAGAGGATGGTAAATGGCCACCTGA